AGCTTACCCTGAACAGTTGACTCTGGACACTTCTTGAAGAAAGTTTTGCAGTCAGTACAAAGAAATCACCCAGATGCATCATGGTTGATCAACTCCTGTGTAGTACTTTTGTGCCCCTGTTTCGAATTTTGCCTGCTGCTCGCTTTTCTTATTCACCTTTCAGGTTTACCTAACCAGTCACGCATTCAAATGGAAACCCAGAAATCGCATTTGCCAGTGTGCACCTTGCCATCACAACCTTATGACGAACGCACACACCCCAAGGTCGTGACTGTGATGCAACTCCACCTTCAGGAATGTTGGAAGATTCAAACAATAACCGAATAATCCCTAAATTCGTACTGCACCTGCTTCAACACACCTCTTATATGCCACGAATAACGGTGCCTAATGTATAGCTTAACACTGTACATAATAGTCATTCCTCACTACCAAAATGACCAAACCTATAAACTGGTTTGTATTCACATAACCTGAGTTGTATGAAATATGCATATGTATATATATATATTTATATATATGTATAATTGTTGTTATTACCTTGGCACGACCTCGTTAATATACTATTCCATCCGACTGGGCTATTGTATTCATTCTTGGTCTCCTACTCGTGGGTATATAGCAGGTTGGAATAATTGGTGATTGGCCTCTTCGTTTCTCAGGTTCACATCAGAACAATTCCTTAACTGTTGAGCTCAACGTGACAACAAATCCCGGCCATTGAAAAATCCTTAATCGGTGAGCACTTTCCATTTTTTTACTTGTATATTGTTCTCATTTTGATAACCTTTATATATCCACATACTCCCTCCCGTGCCCTACCATATCCTGAAACTCATCCATATTAAGCCAACGACGAACAACATCCAGCTAGTGTCGTACTGGCCAGATGATGTAGAAACGTGCTTTCTTTGTGTCGAGAAAAGGAAGTAGTGGACCCTCATTCTAGGTTTCTTGCTGTCATGCGTTCACTACCGCAGAAGTTGAACAGACATGTTGCAGCGCATATGTTTAGTCCTGAAGTTGGTGATCCTTATGCACTTCTCAAAGCTGCACTAATGAGGAAAAGTGATCTCACAGATCTCCAGCCCCTAGGCTAATCGCTTCGTCACACCGAGCTAGGCAGCAACTCAGCTACTAAAGCTCTCGCACACATGCGAGTAGTTAGGGGCACACGAACGTTAGATAATTGCCTTTTCCGAGAACTGTTTCTCCGGAAACTATTAAAACCGAAGCAAACCGTGTTAGTGACACTTCAGTCAGTTCCATTCGATAACCTGGCGGCCCCAGCAGATAAATGCTGGAGATCTCAAGTGGACTCGTCTCCAACGTATATTCGTTCTGCGATAAACCCGAGAGCCACGATTCAAAAGTAACCAAGCTCTGCATTTCCGTTAGGCAGCTGCTACGAACTCGAAACCCTAGGTTACGTAGCTCATCCGAGAAACGCTTCTCAGCCCATCGCAACAACTCACACGTTGTACAAAACTAAACAAAACATGGTGAAGGACCCTGAATGGTGCCGGTTTCGCAACAATTACAGGACGACGCTAGAAAATGCCGGAGGCCATGCAGTTTCACCACGGACACGAACTCGGGAAACTATTATGCCGCCACATGTTCACAGCAAGTGCAGCCGGCGGAAACGGCCGTTTGCTTCACGTTTCAGGGGTAAAAACGAAAGTTCGCTACCTCGTCGACACCTGCACCCACAAAGGCGCTTCATCACGACGCATCCTTCAATCTTCAAGCAGCTAACGCCAAGGCAGTCGCAACATTTAGGAGACGGTACGTCTACCTCAACTTAGGTTCACGCAAGCCTATTCACTAGATTTTTCTCCCAGCTGACGTTCCTATGCCCATCATTGGAATGAGTTTGCAAAACCATTACGATTTACTCGAAGATGGTCGTCGTCGACGACTGATAGATGACAACACAAAGTTATCTATTGGCTGCACCACCTGTGTAGGTCCAAGTCTAGCCATCGTTACAACTGGACAATCAGGTGACGTGTCCTATCAGCAGCTTTAAAGAAATGCGTAAAGTTACAACAACCGAAGCATGCCCTTCCGTGCATAACCGGCAATGTTGTGCACCACGTCACAATCACAGGTCCACCTGCGGAATCCAAAGCACGCCGTCTAGACCTTGATAGGATCAAAAAGGAGAAAAGTGAATTCCGCGACATGCTCGAAACCGGCATTATCAAACCTTTAAGCAGTCCTTGGGCATCATCACTGCATACGGTTCCCAAAAAGGATCACAAGGAAAGGCGTCCAAACGGTGACTACCGAAGGCTTGAAGCCGAAACAACACCGGTCTGCTACCCGATACCTCATGTTTGCGACTTGACTGTGACGTTATGTGGAATGAACATATGTTCCGAAACCGATCAGGTCAAAGCGTATAATCAGATACACACGGCAGCGGAAGATATCGTGAAAAAGCCATTATTACTCCTTTTGGCCTGTTTGAATTCCTACACATGCCATTCGGTCATCGGAATGCAGCACAGACAATCCCACGTTTTATGGAAAATGTTTTCCACGGCTTAGATTTTGTCCAACCCCCATCGATGACTGTCTCGTTGCGAGTTCAGACAAGGAAGCTTGCCTTGAACATTTGAACCTCGTATTCAGTAGGCTGAACCTAGCCTGGTAAACTAGTTCACTGGTTACTAGCCGGTCCTAAGCCCGGGTATATAAGGAAGGTTGGACTTAGAGCTAGCAACCCTACCGCGTAAAACCAATCCAACCGCTGAAGAAACTTCAAAGCACAGACAGAATATAAAAAATAAAATCAAACTTATTCCTCGCTGGAATCGGAGAGACGAAATGACGCCGGTCGGTGAAAGCCTTTGGGAAGCCGATTGGCTGTGTCTTCTCTCGATGAAGGCGAAAGTAAAAGTGGGGATATGGAATGTCCGCACTATGTTTGAACCCAGTGAGGCCCCCCAGATTGCAAAGGAGATGAGAAGGTATAGCATAGAAGTGCTAGAAATCTGCGAAAGCAGGTGGACTCTCCCAACTATCAACTGGAGAGTCAATAATCTACTCCGATGTTGTCACCCAGACGACAACCACGAGCACACGGAGGGAGTGGCTATCATGATGTCTCCGAGAGCATCGCAGGCTCTTATACAGTGGGAACCAATCTCCTCCAGGATCATAACAGCAAGGTTCAACTCAAAAGGAAGGGAAGTCACAATCATACAGTGCCACACTACGCACCCACAAATAATGCAGATGAAGAGAAGAGGGAGGAATTCCACAGACAACTGCAATCAACACTGGACAAAACCTCAGCTGGCGACATCAAAATTCGAATGGGCGATATGAATGTCAAATTCGGAGCGGACAACACAGGAAGAGAACTAACCATGGGTCAAGAAGCACTCGGTGAAATGAACGGGAATGGAGAAATGTTTGCAGAATTCTGTGCATTCAAAGATTTGGTGATTGGAGGCACTGTGTTCAAGCACAAGGATATACACAAAGCGATATGGACTTCACCAGACACCAGGACACACTACACTAAAAATCAGACCGACTTCATCTCAATTTGAAGAAAGTGGAGACGCAGCCTACTGGATACAAGGTCAAGTAGGGGAGCCGATGTAGACTCAGACCACTATCTAGTGCAAGAAACCTTCCAAATCAAATTGAAAGCCTTAAAGGAAGTTGGTGATAGACCATAGTCCAAGTAAAACACTCGGAAACTGAAAGACGAAAGTGCAAAGGAAATCTTCACGTCAGCCGTCAAGACAAAATGGGAGGTATCGAGCAGCATCCCTGAAGAAACCTGTATGGATGAGTACTGGAACTCTTTGAAAACTATATGAAAAAAACCTGAACGCCATAGGGCTACTGAAATACGGGAAAGAAGCAGGACCAGATGCAATCTCACCAGGGAGCTCCCCGCCAGGAAATTATATGGTTCGCGTTGAGTTTGCTTTAGTTGCCTGCAAGTTACAAAACTGAAACATGAAGACTGTAAGGCAGGCAGCTGAAAGTAGGTCAATGTTGCATGACCATAAAGTTCCAAAAACACAACCGTTCTGAAAGTATAACAGTTTTCAGTCATATCTATATTGAGAATAGTTTCCACTCTCCTTTGAGTCAGACGACCAACCTGCACACTCCAACCGTGTGGCTTCGAGGAAGATGATGCCATCATACTTGATTTAAGCCATTTACGTGACGGATGAATATACTTCCTCCCACATCTAGGATAAATGACGTCGACAAACAGGGATGGATGTTACAATATGTGTCATACTCGACAGTAACGTTTCAGTTGAACTGAACCTCCGAACATAACGATAGATAAATAACTGGCATCTGGAATCCAGTCAATCAGTGTGACTGATACAGGGTCTCCGGACAGACACATATGGAACATGCTATTACATTTAACAGCCAAGCACTTCGCTTTTTGTATGCGGGTCCTTAAAAAGCAGCACATATTAATAGCGAAGGTCAAGGTACCCGTTGTTTTTTCGGCAATAAATGGCAAGTTTGAAAACTGATCATCTTCAAAAGCGTATGTGGTGTCGGATAGAATAACTTCGCACAGTAAGTCGAAAAGAGTTGACAGAGTACAGAGGTTTTAATCAGCGAGTTTCGAAATGTACACACATTAAATGACACCTACAACATATCACGGTATCGAGAGGAGTGCCTTACAGCGAGAGATGTTGCGGTAGCAATGAAACGAATACAAACTACAGAATTACACACTGGGCGATTCAACTGCAACACGAAGAGAAAAAGTTACGCCATCAATCTACAGGCGTGATCATAGCCAAGAGAATCTCCAACAGCAAAATCACATGTCGAATAGTCAATAAATTAAGTTATGAGAGTAGAATAGGTAGGAATCAACCTAATTAAACGATTTATTTCACAAGATGATAACTAAGTCCACCTAAATAAACAGGACAGCTATATCACGATCTTCCAAACGAAAACGGCAGAAATTTGCAATAAGAGTACATCATTCAGTTCGTTGCTTTGTTGTTCAATGATGAATTGTAAACTTGAACTAATGACCCCGTTGCTTGTAGTACATCTTCAGGCAACTGAAACAAAGGAAAAAATTACAATAAGTCCATGTGTGATCAGATTGTTCGAATAGTATAGCGCTAATACATCACGTGTTTCAGATAATCTTCGTCTTCTCATTACGCTGTTTAAATTTATCAAAGGGATTAGTTGCTTTACAACAAATCAGTTTAATAAAAGCGAATATGAAGCACATGATCCCATCCTGAATGTAAAAAAACACCTGAAATACCCTCTAACAAAATCTTAGTGACTGAAGTATCTTCAGTAAAAACTAGGATAAGCGAAAGAACGTCACCTGAAGCCACAAAACTATTATGCAGTGCAACAATATTTCCTAGACACATCAAAGAAGCATGGAATTCCCTGGAAAGCTTTCACAGTCAATTATAGCATGCTGAACCTTCGCGAAGAACCACGTGATCTAATGTATGACTGTCAGACTAGCTAGAGGACTTTCTGGAAAAGCGTAGAACACACTTAAGCCATCAAAAATGTATGTACGCCATGACTTTTTGTACACGTTTGACTTGACAATAAACCTTTATCGTTTTTGCCGCTTCTTTCTGTTTTCGAAGGACTGAGAGACCCTCAGGGGTGAAGTCCAAGGTTATCGTGCAAAAGTCAGTTCACATATAACTGTATATATCCACCACAAGCATATATCAGTAACATGCCATTGACCGAAAGATCTTTATCAAACACGGTTAGGATACCGTCGAACCCCACACAATGATCGTCAAAAGACTGAGCAGATGAGATGAACGATCGCAGTCTGTAAACGAAAAGACTTGGATGCTGCCAGAAAAAGGCAAATATCACGTAAAACGAAGTCATTAATATCATCAAAAAATGGAGTTGGAAATTACCGTTTTACACTGTTCTAAACGATTGCATAATACTTGAAGAGTAGGTAGGATACAAACTTCTGACAACTCCATATTGTACGGTGGTGATACAGTTGCACGTATTAATTGAAAGAGATTGGTCTCATCGTTTGATAAGGCTGTGGATAGAAAACGAAAAATAGAAAATAACATATACAAGATATATAACAGAATAATTTTTCAGGTTCTTGACATAGACAGACAAACGAATAAATGTAGAACTTTAAAGGGAGAAAGAGACAAGGTCAACATGGAATCTCGTATACATGTGCATCGGTTCAACTTGCACACTTCACAGTAGTATACAAAAAAATGGATAGAATAAGTGATATCAAACTAGACCAAGCTGTGTAAGAAAATAAAAAGTTTAAAGATAACGAATAGCGCATATATTCAAGCTTCAAACAATATTAAGATACGAAGCAGTTTACATCTCCCAACACGGTTTGGATTGATAGTTGGGGACTGTACGGATTCGTGTTATGTCTTGGTCTGGCTACTCTGAACCCTCAGGCGACCTAATCCACCTTCCCTCTAGCATGGCACATTAAGGCAGGTGGTGGTTCAGCATGAGAAATACATGCCCAAGTCACTTCAGTATATATGAGCACACATACGAAAACTGTAGCATAATATTCCATAATGAAACAGTAAACAGTTCCTAGTGTTCATAGTATATAAAGAATTATTTATTCAGAACACAAAAACAAAAAAATATAGACATTAAATTCAACGAGTATTACCTGCATTACGAAGACAATAATCCACAAAACCTGAGATGTGCTTGGGATCAACTTCCTCCATATATTTCATTGTTGAACGAAAAGCTGATTCTGTTAGGGACTCATGAGGACTGCCGACCAGAAATGTAAACGGTATTTTTTGATTATTCTAAGTGGAATGATATAGCAGACAAAAAAATAGTCTCGAATGAGTTTTCTTATTCATGAGGTTTGGAAAGACTTCGGATTGCGTCTTTCCATTAAGTTTAGAAAACTATACATAATACTGATGGCACTACTTGTATACAGACTTTCTGTCTTAAAGAAACGTTTAGGTCTTAAAACTTTCCCAACAGTGACACATGTTAAATTTCGGATGATATGTAACGAAATTGACCGAAAACTCTTTTCCCATATACAATACTACTGAAGTAATAAACTAACATCCAACAGGCAATGAATTCGCTATTTGATATCATCCAAAGGTTCCAATAGCTTCTAAATGAAGCGTGTTGCAGAATTGTGATACGTGAACTGAAAGCCTAGTGCTTAGACTGATAATCAACTGTTCATATTCTCTTTGGTTAAGAAAAATACTGTACATTAAGCGAATATTTAACTTCACAATTACTCAAATCTTTAACAAACATAATCATCATAAAAACCGCGGCGAATTATTCTATTGCGCTATCAGTGGACATTTAAATAACTACTCTGGACTGAAATCTCCATGCTATGCCAAAGTCACCTATCGTGGAAAACAGTCTGCCGGTTAATAAGTGGAGTTATGTAACTCAGACAAAAGGCATAGTTACTCCTGAAAAGTCAGAAGAAAAAAGTTGAATCTATTGAATGCCTACCCCCCAACGACAACCAAAAGCTGTCACCGATAACAATGCGCATTATATACATATATATATATATATATATATATATATACGTAAATCTTCACGGCAGCCATAACGACAAAATGGGAGATATCAAGCAGCATCCCTGAAGAAACTTGTGTACAAGAACGCTGGAAGTCTTTGAAAGAGATGTGGAAAGAAAACCTGCACAACTGTATTAGGAAGCAAGAAGAAAGAAGATAAACCAGTGCAAGGATGAACAACGACAAGAGGAACTGAGCACAGTGTACAAAACACTACACTGAACAGAGAAGTGAAGCAGAGTGCACGGAAAGAAAAAAGACACTTCTACGAAACACTGGCAAGTGGAGCACAACAGGCTGCAGGTAAGAGAGACCTGACAACATTGTATCAAACAACCAGGTTACTATCTGGTAGGGAAGAGATCAATACCGATGAAACCAATAAAAGATGATGAAGAAAATATAATTACCAAGGAAGAGAAACGATGAGCTGGCCACTTCAAAAAGCTCTTGAATCCACCGCCACCTGCAGACACAGAACTACCAGTGAACACGACGAAAGTCGAAGTCCTGAACGCCATAGGGCTACTGAAATACGGGAAAGAAGCAGGACCAGATGCGATCTCGCCAGAAGCACCAAGAACAGACGTAGGGACAACAGCAGACAGGCTCATACCACCATTGCAGAAGGTCTAGAAGGAAGGAAATGTACCTGCTGGTCGATTGGAAGAAGGGCTACCTTGTCAAACTCCCAAACAAGGGTGGGCAACTTAAGTGTTTGCAAGAACTGGCGCGGAATCACTCTCCTGTCCACCCCAAGCAAAACATTAAGCCTCATCATTCTGGAGAGACTAGACGATTCACTGGATTCAAAACTACGACCCGAACAGGCAGGTTTCAGGAAGCAAAAATCATGTGCGGACCAAATCGCAACGCTACGCGCTACGCATCATCACACAACAGAGCATAGAATGACAGCCAACTCAACTTCATCGACTTTGAAAAGGCCTTTGACAGCGTCGATCGAGAGGTAATTTGGCAGTTGCTTCAACACTACGGAATACCACAGACTTTTATCAATTTCATTCAACAACTATATGAAGACGCCACATACCAGCCAAGTAATTCACAATGGGAAGCTCAGTGATGCCTTTGCAGCGAAGACAGGAGTAAGACAGGGTTGCCTACTATCACCGATGATACTCCTGATTGTGGTCGACTGGATCGTGCAGCAAACAGTGGGGAGCGAGAAGAGGGGGATACGCTGGGCCGGGGAAAGAGCCTAGAAGATTTGGATTTCACCGATGACTTGTGTCTGATGTCACACAAACTTGAAGATCTACAGGCGAAAACTAACAAGTTGGCAGAAGAGGTAAGGCAGAGAAGACGGGACTTCAAGTGAATATAGAGAAGACAGAGGTGATGAAGATACCCAGCCAATAACAAGCTCCAATCACCATCAACGGGAGAAACTTGAAGGAAGTAGCCTCTTCCACCTATCTAGACAGCACTGTTTCAACTACAGGTGGCACAGACGGGGACGTCAAAGCCAGGATCGGAAAGACTGCAAGACAGGTGTTCATTAACCTGAAACCAGTGTGGCGATCTTCCGCGCTCAGCAAAAAGCGTGAAAAAGATCCGGATTTTCAACGCCGACGTCAAGTCAGTGCTTCTGTATGGTTCAGAGACTTGGTGCGTTACGTAAAGCATTTCCAACAAACTGCAGACATTCATCGACAACTGCCTACCCTCGTTACTGAAGATCAGATGGCCAGAATAATAAGAATAAGCAACAAGGAACTCACTCGGGCTGGCAACGAACCAACCAAGAACCCATCACCCAACAGATATGCAGAAGGAAGTGTAGATGGCTTGGGCACACACTGAGAAGGTCGATTGAGGACATCACGCACCAAGCCAGTCACTCGAGTGGAACCCAGATGAGAAGCGACTAGTTGGACGTCCAAGGTGAGGATGACATGGAGGAGATCGTGCGAGGGGGAAATGAGAGCTACTGGGCTGTCATGGGGCCAGGTTCAAGAGGTTGCAGAGAAGAGAGCGCAATGGATGCGTGCTGCTACTGCCCTATGTTCCACTAGGAACCCAAGGGACAAATAATGATGATAAACTCGGTAGACTGAGAAAGTTTACATGATAGTCGACTTGCACTACTTTTTTGCTGGCTGGGAATGAACGAAGACTTTAAGGAATGGTTCAGCCGTACTTAGCTTGCCAGAGGCGTAAAGTTGCGAGACACACGAAAAGCCCTTCAGGTTCTTTTCTAGCCCAATGCACGCCTTTCGACCTTGTCCATATGGATATTATAGGACCTCTACCAGAATCTAATGGATGTGCTTACCTTATCATCCACGTGGATCGTTTTACGCGATTGTCAGAAGCATCACCTATTAGGAATATTACTGCTGAAACTGTCGCCCTTGTTTTCGTAGAAAGATGGATCGCGAACTTTGGATGTTCGTCTTGCGTAACAACCGACCGTGAACGCCAATTCGAGTGTGGATTATCTCACGCTTTAACTGCACTTTTAGGTGTCACTCGGTTCCTAACGATGGTTTGCCATCCACAAATAAATGTGATTGTATAACGTTTTTATAGATGGCTGAAAGCTTCCTTTTCAGCTGCGAAACAAACCTCAGTGGACCGAGGCTCTGCCTATGGTCCCACTAGGTTTTCGCAACGCGTTGAAAGCTGATGATGGATGCACCTTCGCGGGACTCGTCTGTGGGACTACTCCTCGATCACCAGGTGAGCTTATTTCCCCTTCAAAATTCAAACATGTCTTCGACCGGACATCCTACGTGACTGGGATAACAAAGCAATGCGTCCATGTAGGCCTACTCCTGTTGGACCTCAAACGACTGTTTTAAAGAAGACATCACACATGTTCATTGGTCACGATGCCGTTTGCTGACTACTTGAACCACCTTACGATAGACTATTCAAAGTAAGCAAGCGGAGTGAGAAGTTCCACATAATCGGGAGAAACGGACATGGAGATGCTGTTAGTGTGGACCATTTGAAACCAGCTCATTTCGAAGGCAACCCCATCATAGGTGACGTCTCAGCTCACTATAGCCGACCGGCGGATGGCCCGATTATCGAAATTCCTGACGATGTGCATGGTGATGCGCAGTTACAACAATCACCGGCGCAACAAAAACATGATCAGGTCGAACCGTCAGGTTCCTGGAGTACTTAAAATCATATTTAACTAGGTAGTGTGAAACGAAACGTGCCAACCATTTTCAATTCAAAAATTTTTTCGGGGCACCATTTTTCTTGTTTATCGGGAATGCAAACACCCTGCTACATTTTACCTTACGGATCACTTTTTACTTCCGCGCAGTGAAACTTTAAAAAAATGGAGATAAGCATAAAATCAATTTTCGACACACTTATGAATAAATGTTTCCCTTTTTTTCGAAATATTTTCGTCGTATTAAAGACTTTCATTTATGTTGCTGGTGCAACGGGCACTGCACGAAACGTCAAAGGACACAGAAGGCCGCGATCAACGTGCAATCCGATGTGTTGTATTTTATTTTTTCCTTCTCCTTTGACTCCTCAGAATAAGTTCAGACAATCGGGAGCCACTTCTACTAGCGAGCCTATCGGAAGAGTTTCATCAAAGGAGAAATCGCTAGGTTTTTACCTCCGGCTGGCATCGTTCTAGGTTCCTCACGAACCCACTGGCAGGAGGTGATCTGTAGCGTCTCCCATTTCCCTGGGATCAATAGCCTAGGGTTCGGCGAGCCTCAACATCAGTGCTGATCTTCATACCTCTGTAGGGGAGCGTGTTACAATTCCGTAACGCTTGATCAACCCTACTTAACCTGATGTGCTCTAGTACATGCTTAACCAGTACTTTACCTAACGTGTAAGCATCGATAACAAAACACAAACCAAAAGAACTGATACGCAATGTATTTAGAGGAGCTATGTATTTGATTGAAGAAAATGTAATAATAATGAGTGAGGGGGAGGTTTAATCAACTTATGTGGCTTGTAAGGCTGAACTAGGGACTCGGAGTACGTGTGTGGTAATCAGCACGATGGAGCGTAAAATAGCGTCCAAGCCTGCTTGGATGCATGCTCGTTAAAACAAAACTTAAAACACCCTAAGCATCCGGAGGCAAACTAGAGATTTATTTAGTTAGTTTAATTTAAACTATTTATTTTAGCCTTAGTTATATTTTGGTGCCATCAGACTCGCTAAGCTGAAGGCACCCGGTCAAGCACTCTTGTCGTTTGGCACGCTGTCGTGCTACGTTACCCTGC